TTGTTTGGTTGCTAAAGACGATAACATCATTTCGAGGAAATTTCGTTTTATGAAATTTTACACCGAAATGATAATTGAAATTGACTGATTTGTTTATTTTGCATTAGAATAGAGATAACGGTATTACATTTGAAGCTTGGCCTACGAAAAACGAGGGTATTACTGTTTCAAATTGAGTTAACCCTGTCGTATAAATGAGGGAGTAACGCAGAAATGCCAATTTAGTGAATTTTTGCGTAAGCGCTAAAAGTAAAATACTGTGATACTGGTTGACGACATATGAGTCGTCATATAAGATTTGTTTTAAAACCACATTATAAATATGTTTTCAATCAAAATTCAAGCATCTTTGAAATGTGACTTCCAGAGAAACTGAAATCTTCCTAGTTAGTCGTTCGGTCTTTATTTTTCTATGTGCAGAAGTGATATATTAGCCTTTTGTCTTTGTATCAGTCTTTTCGCATTTCTCTCAAGCAAAACAATGGCTTGCATAGTACAGTTAGCAATGTGGTGTAATCTTAAAGTATTAATATTTGTAAAAGTAAAAGAGATTTAAAGCGATAGACCTAGTATATGGGAGATAGCTCTTACACATGTATTGAAAGTAGGTTCTGCAATTTAATCAAGCAGTAATTGAATCAGTGATTAATAAAAGAATAAGGAGACATTGTTCGATTGCAAATGAGACAACTACATGTATCCAACAGAATCCAAATGAAACTAATTTAAGCAACTACTCGTTTATGTTTACCTTTGGTTATGAGATCCAGCAGCATCAACGAAAAAAGTTTGACTCTACCAAGCACTAAATAATGGAATTACAATTTATTTAAACAATAAAAAATCAAAAGCTAGAAATTCACGATATGCTTCACAGCAAATCATATAATATGAGTTTGGGGAATGACTTTGAATATCAACATCATTAAATCTTTGAAAGTTGTTGACACATTGAAGTGGAAAAGATGAATAGATCAATGAAGTTATAATGTTTCAGTGCTTAGGGATAGGCTGTTTTGACTGTGTAACTTCTGTTTTCGCATACCAACGACAATTTTCTAGAAGATTTATCTGAACCACATTCCTTCTTGAATATTTGTACACTTTCAACTATTATTGTACATTCAGGCTATAGACATTACCATGGCATTAAAGATTTATTTTAAAAAAAGTTTCTACTGAGCATTTTAACAGTACATGCAGTAATGGCATTTACTATTGACAAACATGGGCAAAAAACAGAGACATGTATGCCGACCAAACACTGGTCATATTCAAAATACCCTAAATATAAAAGGCAATGGTAAATTTCCACAAAAATTTTCAGATCATGGGCTGAACCCTACCTATTCAATGTTGCAACTATAAGAAATGAAATCTTGGTTTAACTCTTAACTTTTTATAATTTGCATTTTCAGGCAAGTAATAGGAAAATCTTTCAAAGGGAGTTTTTTTGGAGCAGGTAGAGGATTAATTTCCTATTCTCGAGTGAAATGCAACGGGTCGGAAATAGATCTCATGCACTGCTCTTTTAAAGAAATAATTTCTCCGACTTGCGATCATTCGAACGAAGCTGGAGTTGCATGTGCATGTAGGTTTTAATTTTAATTTATATATATATATTTACTACAAAGAAAGCTCAATATACTTTTTTGATAACCATGTTCTGTTCCTCATGTTGCACGCTTCATATTACAAATTTTTCGGATTCAAATAATAACAATTTCTGAACGTGAAATAAACATGAAATAGGTATAGGAAATTTATTTTTAACGGGCTTGATTACGATCGACCAATAATTGACTATGAATGTAGACTTCAGGAAGCACGTGTAACGCATGCATGATACAAATCAAGTAAACAAATTTCATTGGGCACGCTCAATTTATCACGATGTCTGAAACTTTTTCGTATTTTGGGAAAACACTTTATGCGCTTAGTTGACGTGTTTTAGGCAAATGGTTGGATTCCTATGGCCACCATCTGCGCTCGTCTGCTCACGAGTTGTTTCTTAATTTGCACGAGGCTTGCAGACTTAATTAGGTCGACGGTTTGAAATATTATTAACACAGATGACCACTGAGATTTTCTTGTTATCGTTGACATAAACTCCAGTTTCCTTTCTTGCATATGGCATCACCGTTTCAATCTAAAATCATATTTGCCTGAAACAGTCTTCATCATTTCGAAATTGACAAGGAGAATTTGAGATTTTGCATGCCATTTTTCATGTCTGTTTGTTTGCATTCATGATTTACGTCCAAAACGTTGGTAACATTTTTTTTATGCTATACGACTTTTACCGAGCATTTTTGATTTACAGTTAAAGAACAAATCAAGTTGACCCCACAACAAAATACACCGGAGGGCACAGTTTTAGTTAATGTTGATAACAAATGGAACACTATTTGTGATAAAGATTTTGGCCAGGAGGAAGCGCAAGTTTTCTGTAGAGAATTGGGATATTGGTAAGTTTAATGTTCAAAATCTTTATATTCAGTGGAACCTGAAGTGGTTAATTCATTTTAGACAAAACATGCAAAGTCGTGACAAGTGTGAGTCTAGCAGAACATACATGAAAATGGAGAGACATATTTCGGATTTACCAAATTTAGAGCGCATTCCTGAAGTAAACGTTTCAAAGAATGGTGAGACGCAAAAAGTGCATAATCCAATGAAATTATCACACGATAAATTTTGTGTGAACGAAACGGTCTTCGGAAGGTATCTCCATCAGGAACGCTAAAACCCAAAGATTTACAAATAAATGCAAAAAAAACTGACAGAAACGTAAACAATAGGTTAAATAGTCTAAGGTCTGACAGAGACCTTTTAATCCTAGTATCTTGGTGCGTTTTTACAATAAAGGGGTCGATGAAATTGCCAGTTCGGTTGACGTTTTTTTCCCGATAATGTCACAATCACAGAATCCTATCCTGATATGGAATGCATTTCATACGGTTTTTTCTGTATACAAATTTTAAGTCATTTAAGCACTTTACACAACTTTTGGATATTTTGACAATGCGCTTCTACTTTGTACAAAATTAAGCCTTCTAAATATTTGATTCGAGCGCCAGTGATGATTCATTTATGCTGACGAATTAATTTATCACACAAATGTTTAAATTTTGTGTCTTTGATGAGATTTTAAACCAATAATTAAATGCATAAGAATTTTGTATCATGGCGATTTACTTTGGAACCAGTATAATTTTTTCCTGCTGTTATAAACTAACATTCAAAATTAAATTGCAAATGGTTCAAATAGTTTAAACATTTTGTATATGAAATAACGTTATCTATTCTTTAATAACATCCGAGAGATTTATTTATCTTTTAGTCACTAGAACTGTTAAAGAAATGTTAATCAATATTTGAAAAAGTTGCATATCAGTATTCGTCAATTATTACGGTTGATTGCAGACTTTCCTTAAATACTATTACAGGAGTTCTACTTCTAAACCATATACAAATTCCTGGTTTGGAAGTGGAAACGGTACATCACAGGATGTTAGACCACAATGCACTGGTTCTGAAACAAAAATAGCGTTTTGTCCAATGGAGGAAAGCTGGAATGTACGATCCTGTCCCCATTCAAACGATGCTGGAATACAATGTACTCCGACACCTCTTGGTAAAATTGTATTTCCGTTAGATGTTAAATGAAATGTATTATCTACATATCTTACATCATATGGTTTTCATATTTTGTTTTTTGTCAGCGGTCGCATATCTAATGAAAGCATTAGTTTCCTATTTGCGTACAGAATCACCCTACCGTCTCTAAAAAAAGACAATGTTCAACATCAAGGAAATCATGTGCACCATTTAACAGTACATATCACGTAACGAGATATAATTTCATTACAATGAAAAGAGTTGTCTTGAATGTTTATTGAATGTTTGATGATGTATATTGATTACAAAGTTCTCGTTAAGGTGCGCACATACAACATAGAATATTGCAATACAGAATATTATCTCTTGTTGGTCACTTTTGTTTAATTAGACATCCGACTACATCGCGCTAGATTCGAAACTATGTTAAATACGTTATAGCTATGTTTTAACATTATATATCCCCTCTCTAAAAATGACAACCATCCAGTCCGTTTTTCCGTTTGTAAAGTATGTACGCTTTTTTTTTACTTTTTTTTTTTATCTTTGAGACATCTGCATCTTGTTCGCGCCGATACTTGAATTTTTACAGCATGCTGAATGAAAACAAATATTTTTGTCACACTCTTCAAAAACTACTTTAAAATTCCTTCATATTCGGTCAACTGCTTTTGTTTTATTTGTGGGACATCTACTTATTGTTTGCAAATACATTGAATTATGAGTATGTACGACAACCCGTTCACTCTTGTTTGATAATATTTATTTGTACTGTTCAAGGTTTAACTCTTGCAAGCATAGGCTTTAGGACAAAGATTTTCCTCATTTTCCACTACTACTATATTTAAGTTGAAGTCATTGTAGTATTTATTGATATGCATGTATACTTGTTGTTGGTAGAATAGATACTGATCAATATAAGCAATTGAAATCAGTCATACCTTAACATAGTAATAATAACACAGAGAATCGGCGAAATATAGAAAACCTTTTAAATCCGAGCACATGATTATGTGTTTGTTGTCAATCAAATCTTCAAAGAACACACTTAATTACTACATTGATGAAACCAACAGAAACCGATGAATTTGATTTGTTACGTAAATTATGTAACACCTTGAAAATTATGCAAACGAAAGTAAATGCGATTTGGGGGGTAAATTTATATGATACTGGTAATTACACCTCTTGGTTTTTTAAGTCAGTGGCCAAAATGACAATTACATGATAGAATCTAAAAATAAGTTATTTTTCAATAGATTTCCCACAAAATCAAATATATTTGTATGCATACACTTTTCGTGTTCACAATGAGAGATTGCTGAAACGGGGTTTTACTAACCATAAAAATGACATTTTAGTGATATATATTTATTCTAGGTACATCAAATATTCGGCTTGTTAATGGGCGATATCCAGGAATGGGACGTCTTGAAGTTCTATACAATAATAACTGGGGTTCATTCTGTTTTCGCCACTGGCATGAGCATGATACTGATATTGTATGTAGAATGTTGAAATACGGGTAAGATCACTCATTTTCAAACCTTGATAAGAATTAACAGCCATTCTTTTATGAAACGATACTGTACTTTTAGTAGCATTAATAATTCATCAGCATAACTTTAGTAAATTTCTCAACTTAATATATCAAATAACAGATAAACAGTATATCATGAATCATATGAATAATTACTTTTCAGCAAATTATATTTTAGAACCTCGAATGTTTTGTAGGCATACAAAAGGTACTTCCTATTCCGCACCAAGAAACGGATCATCGGTTTTAATTGGAGCATTGCAATGCACGGGCCATGAAAATGACATTGGAAATTGTAAAGCAGACCTAGACAAGTCGACTTGTACAACTAAAGTAGTTGGAGTTGACTGTACAGGTTAATAGTCTTGCTTACACCACAGAATCACTTCTTATTCAATATTCGATAACTATTGTTCTCATGAAAAGCATATAAGGAATACTCATGGATTTCTCTTTTCGGAATTTAAAATTCAACTATAGATTTATAATTCTTTCGATTTGATTGTAATGACATCTCACAGTGGTTATTGCCAATAACCTTCACTAATATTAACATCTATTTAGATCTATTTAGATCGGATTGCCAAATTGTTGATATATTTTCTTCAACATTACACATTATGTTTTAAAGCAAGAATCTTCATGTATCATGTCTATTTTTAAAATTTATTCATTGAAAAGACAAACGTTTCATAATTTAAAAAAAATAATTTAGTTGTTGATATTGAACAACAATAACCTAAGATAGATATAAGAAGATGTGGTATGAGTGCTAATGAGACAACTCTCCATCCAAGTCAAAATTTATAAAAGTAAACCATTGTAGGTCACAGTACGGTCTTCAACACGAAGCCTTGGCTCACACCGAACAGTAAGCTATAAAGGGCCCCAAAAAATTACTAGTGTAAAACCTTTCAAACGGGAAAACCAACGGTCTAATCTATATAAAAAACGAGAAACGAGAAACACTTATGAACCACATCAACAAACGACAACTACTGAACATCAGATGCCTGACTTGGGACAGGTGCAAACAAATGCAGCGGGTTTAAACGTTTTAATGGTACCAAACCTTCACCCTTTTTCTGAAACAATAGTGTAACATCACAACATAGAGAGACACACTATAAAATATCAACTGAAATAGCTTAACTCAATCAAAGGACATATTAACACCATTGAACATACACTGAAAAAATAAATTGACCTATGACACAATGTAAATACAAAATAAATAAACTAAGGGAAGAATAATAAAAGTAACATATTATATCGGTAAGAAATGTTAAACAATTAAAGAAAAACAATATGCTCGAACAAAAATACCATCCATTTGCAATAACTTTAAACACAGGTAAATGAAAATAATTTTGTTGTTAGGTATACGTGTACAGTACCAATAGAGAAAGGAAATATTTTTACAAAATAAATAATTTAGAATACAAAATAAATGAACTAAGGGAAGAATAATAAAAGTAACATGTTATATAGGTAAGAAATGTTAAACAATAAAAGAAAAACAATATGCTCGAACAAAAATACCATCCATTTGCAATAACTTTAAACACAGGTAAATGAAAATAATTTTGTTGTTAGGTATACGTGTACAGTACCAATAGAGAAAGGAAATACTTTTACAAAATAAATAATTTTGATGTTCATAGTACGAAGTAAAAATTTATAGTTATACCAAACACTTATCAAAGCTGGTATATAGACCAGATATAACCCTGAATAACATTAAATAACAAAAAAGCAATACAATTAGTATCAACAGGTCAAATAAACAAGAAAGTACGATTTGAGAGTACTCGCAGTTACTGACAGCTAGTTAGAACCTTTTTCTTACAAAAGCAAACGCCCAACTGCAATCAATAAGTTTCACTTCTCACACCGACGTGTACTAACTATACCTTCATAGATTCAGTTTACTGGATGCTATATGGGGCCTGAATAGAATTTTCTATATGCAAATAATACATTTATCAACCTAATAATAAGTTAAATAATATATTTTAGGCAATATGAATGTACGACTAGGCGATGGCCAGCACCCTTTAGAAGGACGAGTGGATATTTATGATGGACACAGATGGGGAAGCTTATGTGATCATACCATTACTGTTGATGCGGCAAAAGTTATATGCAGCACAGCAACAGGATATAGGTAGATTTGTATATTAAATGTGTCCACATTCTGTTAACTTATTCTACGTATTAATTACGAAAATAAATTATTGTAAATGATATAAAAAAATTATTAAGGAAGTTGGAAAAGATACCGTGATAATATTCGAGTAACATTCAAATAATGTTAACTGAAGGTCATTTTAACAATTTTTTAATCAGTTGGTTATCTTACAACAAGGATATGGACATATACGATAGTTGATATACACAATACCAGTAAATCATGAGATACTAGACAAATATCATATAGATGTTTATTCAAGGCATATGTACAAAAACAAATTTAGATTTCGAAAATTTAAGAAAGGACTATCAATCTAAAGATATACAAATGGATGTAACGATAGGAGATTATTGTCGAAAGCAAGTTAACTGCAGGTTTTTTACTTTATGTCTTTTTAAAAAATATACACGACAGACTGAAACAACAAAAGTGATCAGTAACACAGGAGCTACAAATAAGTCATTTAAATTGAATCGTCAATCGACTTATTTACAGGACTTAAAGTTGCCCATAAACTAGTGCTTTGACCCATTCTGTGCATAACACAATTTGTTGCTTTATTTTTGAAAACTGTAATGAATAGAAGGAAACTCGGTTCATCAAAAAAAGGACCAGCAAGACGCATTTTCATTATTGTAATTGCATTATATCGGTTTGCAATTATCATAATATCTGATGTGACCCGACTTCCAAATTGACTCAATGTCAAACATCAAGATATAATATAAAAAAAATATTATTAGTATAGAACTTACCCACCTCAACTCAGTTTATATATTGTTAGTCTTTTTTTAGTTTTGAATTTCGTCTATGATGTGATTTTCGTCGGCATATTACTATTGATTGTCCAAACTCCGTTGGTAATTGGTAATAGTTACCTTTTCTTGCTGCTGTAGGGATGTTTCAAGGATCCAATAAATTTAAAGAAACGTGGCCTCTATAATTTCATCTCAGCTTTGTTTTGTCATTTCCATTAGAATAAACGAACGGTATATTTTGTACTTATTACAATGTTGCATTTTTGTACGGTTTTACATTAACAATGTCTTAAAAATGGTTTCAAACGGACCATCCACCTTGAAATTTCAAAGAAACTGAAGTATAACTTTGAAGTTCTGAACTTTAACAGATTATTGCTGAAGTTTTGAATTTAACATTTCATTTTGCATGTTAAATGGGCACGGAATTGTTTATACAGTTATTTAATAAACTTTATCAAATTTATAAAAGTAATCTTGAGCATACTGGGAAATACCAACAGAATTAGCCCTACCTAACAATGCTTTTCGCATAAACGTTTAATTGTGCACTTAAATGAAAAGTCTTCATTTTCTAGGGATACTCAGCCAGTGTTCACTCATATGCGTGGTTTAGAATTCCATCAAAGCGAATTTGCTGTAAATAAGATTGCATGCGATGGTTGGGAAGAACATATCTCACAATGTACATTCACGAAAACTAGTACCTGTTCACTACATTTTACTCATATTAAATGTTTCAGAGGCAAGTAACGTGTATGTTTACAGTATAATGTGCTCATTAATAAAGAACTTTACTTTTTAAAAGATCATACACATAGTTTAAGACAAAGAAAATACATTTAGTACAGATATATCGAATGATATTAGATCAACTCGCTATGTTATTACGTTATTTAAACATCGCAAAATTTAATAAGACAATGACAGTCCAGTATATAAAATGAAAACTACACTTTATTAATTTCGTGAGTCCGAAGCGTTTTTTCTGGATTTAATTTCATCAGGAACGCTGAAAGCCCAATAGTTGAAAGCCAATGATGTATAACAACCGAAACAGTTGATGAGTTATTTGACCAATTAAAAGCATAAGAATAATAGCCAAATCCATGTAAGGTCAACTCTGCCTTAGGGGGTTGGAAACTTTAGTATCTTAATAATTTCAAAATGAATAAACGGACAATTTAAGAAAGGTTAGTATTAAATTATGTCAGTACCGATGTACTGACTACTGAGCTGCTGATACTCTCTAGTACTGATACATGTATATATGAGAATGGAAATCTAGAACTTATACAACAAATATACCATTATAATTTATATGTTTTATGTTGTTCTTCGCTCATATTCAGTATGAATCATTTTCTTAAATGCATGATAATTCTAATATGGTGTGCAATACATGTAAAAAAAATCTATTTATTTCATGGAACAGTAATTTGTTCATTTTCTATCTTACGATTTCACACTCTATTATTACATTAATGGGTCGAGTTTATAATAGACCGAGTTCGTATCTGGGTGATGTGGTCCATAGAATTAGTATGTATACGAGCTCCCTAATTGGAGTAATTGTTATTTATTTTCGTAACAAAACGTAATTTTAGAAAAGTTTTTTTCTGATTTTCTGTTATTTCGGAATTAATTACTTTTCGGAAAAATCGGTATTTTCTGACAAGAAGTCTTTACTAACATTTTCAGTCCTCTTTCCTGGCAACCTTTATCGACGGTTAAAATTTCAAGCAATATATAATATATTCATATGATTATCATATGCTTCCTATAAAGAATCGTTTGGGTACATTTTTGGTACTTTAACTGTCAATACCAAATTCCTTTTTCTTTAGGTTTAAAAAATGTAATTTACAACATACCTGATGTCAACAGACAGTTACCTAAGAGCAAACATTTGTCGCAAAAGATAGTTTTATGTAATCTATTCAATATGTGTTGTGCTAAAATAAAATTATTGATGAAGAAATATTTTTGAAATATAAGAAAAGGCAACAACAAGAAATTTAAAAAAAAACTTCTGTTTTTCTTGAGAGTATAGAGTAAAAAATAGGTTACTTTCAAGAAATATACAGGATCCACAGTAAAACCTCAGTGACTAAGAATCAGTGATTGGCAAGATTGATAAAATACTTTGTGATTAACAATTGAAAAAAACGTTAACAGCACCGATTTTATTCTAGATTCGCATTTCAACAGTTAATATTCTTTCAAGGAAAAACCTCAAATAGCTAGAAGAAAACAAAAAAACTTTAAAATACAGCCAAGGCCAGAAAAGGAATAAGAGCTATGCATGAAGGAGATACTATAAACCAACTTATTTTCCTCGCATTTAACCTTTTTCAGTGGACTTCGTAGCGATCAGTTTTCGAAGTTTTCTAATTTTCTTGATATATTGATAATGGAATAGCAAGGTTTTACATATTAACGACGATTTATATTTGCGTTATTTATTCTATTTGCCAAATTATATTGCTCACGAGAATTTGTTGATGTATAGTACATTTCTAAATACAAAAGTATTTCCAAATCTTTACAAAAACAAATTTCAATTTAATAGATTCAGATTTCTATGCTAGTAATGAAGTACTGGCTACTTTGCTGTTGATACCCTCGGGACCAAAAAGACTACAAGCAGCGATATTGACCCAGTTGTAGTCATAACATTAACAGTACCAACTTTTACTGCACTAGAGCTATTCGACAAAACATGTCTCGTCATTGACACTCTTGGCCAAAATATTTTGAACATACGTTAACTATTACAAATGTTGAAGAGCTGATTAAACCCAAGAAAAACCAAAAGAATAGCAAAAACATTAGACAAGGAATCAGAAATATGGGCGTTGAAGATTTAACATGCTTTCCAAAATGATATAGCAGCAAATGTGAATAAAAGCAGTCCGTATGTTTATGCAAGTACCGAGGTACTGGCTACGGTGATTATGATACTTTCCGGGACTAACAGTCCACCAGCAGAGGTATCGATCCAGTGGTAGTAATAACATTAACAGAAATCGGGATTAAATGTATCAGATGCGTCATAAATCAATTTATACTGCAACTAATTGTGTTTATTTCCTAAATATAGTAACACAGCTATATTTTGTGCAATGTCAATTTCATCATGGATCACTTTTTCCACAAACAGGGTTTCATTAAGGGATGAAAATAAGTTAGAAATTTGTGTTACAATTTAAATAGCTATCAATGTATTAATTTAAGTTGCAGTATAAATACAATATTAGGTCAATGTCATAAAAATATAAACTTTTTTGTATTCGGCACAAAACTGGGGAAGGGCTCGGTAAAACTTCGCCCTTCCCCAGTTTCTCAGCCTCATACAAAAAAGTTTATATTTTTCTGACATTAAACTAATATTGTATATACACCTTTGGCTTAAAGGCCTGAAGTACACAATGGTTATTTTAAGAATTGTAAAACTGATTGTAAAAGTAATTCATTTTTCATTTATATTTCAGACTGTGTTAAATTTCATTTCCAACGCTCGGGTATTATAACCTCTGCGGGTTACGGTAGAGATTCTTATGAACCCAACATAGACTGTATACACGTTATCAAGCCGCCAAAAGCTATATACAAAATTGAAATCGTTGATTTGCAGATGGCAGATTCAGGGGATTATATTCAGGTAAGCTTGATCTTAACGTACTTTTTCAAATATCGTTATTTCTAGAATCCTTATACTTTGTTTTTGCTATGCTTCAGGCTAGATAGATAAAGACCTGCTGAATTTCAAGAGAGATAAAAGTTGTTCTGCTCCATAGCCCTGCAGTAGTTGTTTGTTGATATTCTTAAACCTTCAAAGTCAGAAATGGTACCAAACACCTTGACTAAAATTAGTTTGGCTCCTTTAATTTTCATAAAATTTTGACAACATAATTACTGTGACCCTTTGGCTAAAATATAAAAATTTCAGAAACTTGAACTTTATCGGAAAAATTTCATTGGATATATAGCAGTTTGGCAAACACTAATTTTGATCATTGAAAAGCATAATATTTCATTAACAGAGCTAATAGAACGTGATTAAAACGTTCAGCTGATTTTTACAGAGTTATCTCCCTGTAGTGTTTTGTACCACCATAAACGAATTCGGAATGATTAGAAAAAGTATAGTTCCTTGTATTTTCTTCGTTTAAAAGTTCATGGTCAATGTAATAAAAAGAATAAAGCATCGACAATTACATTAAAAGTACCAGGTGTACTGTACAGGATCCGCATTTCAACAGTTAATGTCTTTTCAGCTCAAGGCCAACATATTAAAAAAAAACAAAAACTTATACATTTGTATAAACGTTCAAAAGCTGGTCATACATGTACCTAAATGAATTCAAATTACAGCCAAATCAGGACAATGAATCAGAGCTTTGCATGATGGAGATATATATTCCTTTATTTAGGATGTTTACAACATTGTGAACCAACATTACTGAAACTTAATCGATTCGCTACGCGCATTCATGAATGTATGTGCTGTTCGATCTTGGTGTTTTAAATAAAATGTTTTTTTTTTCTTTCTCTCAGATTATCATCAAATTTTTTAGCGTTCTCATATTTAAGATGGGAATATGTGCGACCCTGGTGAAAGTCTATCTGTCTGACGGTTTGCATATATAGTAAGGCAATATCGTTACCTTAAAAAAGAAAGATGCATTCCTCAAAACTTGAATTAAAACTTGAATTTAAAAAAACATATTTGCTTTTATTCGTGTGTGTTAGATTTTAAGCTCACCTGGCCATAAGAGCCAGTATGAGACTTTGTCATCATTAAGCGTCCGTCGTAGTCTTCGTCTGCTAATTTTTTTACAAAGATCATCCATCTCCTCTAAAACTACTTAGCCAAATTTAATCAAACTTGGCTACAATCATCATTTCGGTGTCTTGTTTGATTACCCCGCCTGCAAACTAACATGGCCGACATGGATACAAAAAGAAAATAGGGATAAAATGCAAGTTTTGTCTAAGATCTTAAATCTCATGTGAAACGCACGTGATTTTTTTTTCATGTAAAATCCACGCGAGTTTTCAAAATAAAATTTCTAAAATAACTTCTAAATTTTAAAATGTAATTAAAATTCATGAAAAATACATTATTGACCTTTGAGGTTTTTTTTTGTCCTTGTTATATTTGTACGTAGAGATATACATGTAATAAATATTTCCGTATATTTCTATTTTCATATACATGCACATTGAAATAATCCAAAACCTGGAAAAAAAGGTTCCACAGAGATCTGTATTACTTTTCATACTATAGATAAATGATGCGCCAAATGGTCAAGTTCTTGGACACTTTACAGTTTTCGATGGATATCCAATACTGTTGTTTTCGGAGCAGTTTTACATAAGATACAAAACGAACGCAGCTAAAGAATCAAAAGGGTTTAATATAACCTGGTCAGGTAAGCATTGACATTATTAAGTTTGGAACACTTCAGAAAACTAAGAATGACACTGAAGTCTTGGTCATACAGACTTTATTTTTTTATAAAGGGAACAAACAACAAATTAGGTTTTCAGGTAAATAAAAAACATGCAGTTATATATAGTCTCCCTCACTACGTTCATCCGAATATAAAGTAATTGTATTTTAAGGCTTATACAAAAAAACAAAGATACAATGTAGGTGTGCTACTCGCTATAACCTTTAATTCTATATCTTGTATATCAAATACAACACATTATGATAATTATCATCAGAATTACAAATACGAATGCTCATTCAATTATGCGTTAAACGTGTCTCCTCTTCAAGCTTCAGCTGGAGTAGATGACCAGAAAAATGACAGCACGAGTGTTAAATGCATATAAATGGTCACATGTTATGAATATTCATAAACGCACAACGAACTAAGTTATATGCAGTGGATTTTAAACCGACTATGTTAAAATAGAATAAAGTGTCGATTTTTTAAGACTGATTGGCTCGGATTTAATAAAAAAAAATGTGTCCAGTTAGGGTTACACCGAATACTTAGTGAACAATCATGTTAACACTCTGGCTCAGTATATCATCTAATAAAACGAAGAGTTCCTATATATATTGCATTAACTTGTTCTGGTCTTTTGCGTGTAATACTTGTCTCAGGGCGTTAGACGCTTACCTATCATCATCATCATCATCCATAGACTCAGACTCGTATAACATTTCTAATGAATCTTTTTTTGCATTATGTTATTCAGTCTTAAAAATACATTATTTCAGTCTGCATCATTTTCTTTTCGCAATTTTTAATATAACCAGGTTTTTGGGGTAAGGGGTTTTGTTTGCTTTTTTTTTTTGGTGATCAAAATGCATTAATTTGTAACATTTTATTTACAGTTGCTACTATAAAGGATACACTCACGGTGAATTGTGAGAATCGACAATGGGGAGCCGCTGTGAATCTGACTTCATTAAAATATTTACATAAAGATGCCATTCGTCCTGATAAGATGATCATTTCTTTTCAAAACTGCACTGGGATGATATATGATGATTTGGTTCTGTTTCAACAACATTATGACGATTGTGGCTCAAGTAAAACGGTAAGTATGATTTACTTCTACACAAACACTGCTAGGGAAGCTAGGTTAACATGCATTGCTACCTGAATAAAGAGAGAAAATGTGTATATTTCAATGAGACAGAAAACACACAACAACAAAATCATTGCTCCATTGAGGGGTTTGTCAAATCGTTGTTTTCGGATTTATAGAGAAGCACTGACGTCCAATCAATTTGGGCCTCTCTGAAACATGGGTTGAGGTACAAAAAGTGTTGATCCGTAGGTAGAATATATGCATTTCTGATATATGTGTTTACCAATATGTATATCATAAGGTTTGGAACAATTGATCATTCAATTTTGCATTGTTTTATTTAAAAAAATTTGTATTTTTAGTAGGCGTAATAGCCATGTTTAAAAGCGAATATGCGGTCATTAACCAGAAAATGGCGAATCAATAGAACTAAGAGAAACATGTTCATGTTTTTAAAAAGATAAAAAAAAAATGTACCTTCAGCAAAAACCATTTTCCTAGGTCAATAAAATATATTCTCCATCTATTAACTGAAGTGGGTCTGTTTAACTTTTCGTAAAAAGCCGAAGTAGTGAAGCAATGTAGTAAATATAAGTGTTTTATTTTGCAGACAAATGATACATATGACTTTGTGATATACAGAAATGAAATTGTTTATCTTGATCATGGGATTAGAAAATGGACCGCACCTCTTGAGTGTAAAAAACAACGTACAACAAGGATAGCTCACTATCATTTGTATCCAAACAAACGATTTGTTTTAAGTGACGGTATGTTTAAATATCTTTAAAGGCTCCAAGGGCTCTCAGCAAGAAAAGCCATAAGAATATGTGCAATTCGTAAAAATAAAATAAGTTCCTCTTCTTTTGCTGTAGCTTTCTTTCTAAATGTACAATTACTAACGGGTTCATCTTACAAACAAAACCTTTAAGTGCTAGCTTTTCAAAACTATAATCTTTAAAAAAAAATAAATGTGAGCTATACGTTATTGAGAAAGCAACCCAACGACAAATTCAGCCAATAGATACCTACAGATCAAAATGTAAGAAATGTATATATAACATATATCTTGGTGTGTCTCGTGATTGTCTAAATGTTGATTGTTTTCTGTATTTTATAGTGAGATTGTCGGGTCATTTATGACAGTTTTTCTAGATTGTTTTCCCCAAATATGTATAATTTGTTGATATTACCCAACAGCTGTGTTCTTCGATATATCGTGATCTAGCAAAGAGATGTAGAGCAGCAAAAAAGGGGTTGTTCTTGAGCTTTTTGTGTTTTAATGCGTGTAGTTGTTTTGTGTCAACGATAATTTTCATTGAACGCTGACAAATATTTTGAAGGGTTAGATTTCACGTTCTACCAGTCCGTAACTAAGAAAGCCACCATTTTTTAATTACATTTTTTTTTGGTATGTAATTCCTCAAAAAGTAAACAAGAAAGTCACACTTTGTGCCACCATTTTGAATTCCGATTTTTTTTTTGTATGTCATTTAGAAGCGTACGAAAAGTAAAAACACGTTTTACGAAGGCCAAGCTTAAGATACAATACAGGTTTAAACTTGGCGTTCGTAAAACTTTATTTTACTGTCGCAAATATCCGTTTACCTAGAACCTTTAATTATTACTAGAACAACTTAAAATTGTGCTTTCACTTTTTAATCATTAATTGATACATTCAAAATTAAATATATAACAAATGAAACTTATGATTTACCTTTATTATTCTTACAGAGAAAATTCAAGGATTCAACTTCTCTGTGAACTTTTTCTACGACTGGGTATCCAGGATATCGGATAAAAATCCATATGCTTTTAAGCAGTTTTACTTCTACGAGATTACTCTATTGGATAAAGACCCTGACTTAACTTTTACAGTAGAAAGGTGTTCATCAAACCATCATAAAAATGGGAAAAGATTGTTCCGAAATTTAATTAATAATGCGTAAGTTATTATTCTATGTAGCAAAGCTATGATACAGCTGAAAGATAAGAATTTTTGATTTTTTTTTTCTATTTGTCTTTCTCATATATACAAAGGGATAGATATATATATATATATATTTCTCTGTATTGTTAACAATACATCCCTAGCATTCGAATCCAGTCATATTACCCGATGGATAATGGCTAATTCGGAAAGGGACAATATTTGTAAAAGATGCACTAAAGGAAACATATAGATATAAGAAGATGTGGTATAAGTGCCAGTGAGACAACTCTCCATCCAAGTCACAATTTATAAAAGTAAACCATTATAGGTCACAGTACGGTCTTCAACACGGAGCCTTGGATCACACCGAACAGTAAGCTATAAAGGGCCCCAAAAAATTACTAGTGTAAAACCATTCAAACGGGAAAACCAACGGTCTAATCTATATAAAAAACGAGAAACGAGAAACACTTATGAACCACATCAACAAATGACAACTACTGAACATCAGATTCCTGACTTAGGACAGGTGCAAACAAATGCAGCGCGTTTAAACGTTTTAATGGTACCAAACCTTCACCTACAATAGAATATGAGACGCTGAACTGTTGACTATAAAACAAACCTTGATGGAGAGCATATACACTTAAACCCTGACTTAACAGTTTATGTGAAAGTGCTTGTGCTCTATATAATGGTAGACACTGCAGTAAAACAAGCCCTCGAGAAATCATCAGCTCTAATTATGTATACATCTAGCGCAAATGATGACGGTTAATTGCTACCCAGAAAAGGAAAGTTAACTATTTGGATACTAAAATCATTATGATTGCCATAAAAAATCTTTCAAAGAAGGTGGAAAATACCAAATGGAAAATATTAAGCAATCTATGGTGTATATTCATACGTGTTAATTCCAAAAATGGATATTTACATAACAGCTTAATAATTTATGAAAAAGGCAATATCGTTACTGCCTAACACAGTGGTATTGACTGCAACATCAATAAAGCCTGAGCAGCCAACTGTTGTTCAATAATGTGCTTATTTCTAGCTCTTTCGGATATATTAATGAATTTGTATAATCTAGTATCATTTAACATGTTTAAAGAACGTACAATTCCCTCTTATTTGGGAAATAGAAAATCATCATGGTTAAATTATTACCATGGCTGTTTCTTTTGCATGTTTATCTTTTTTATTACAAGTTTTTAAACAGACGAAATTGTATTTTGTTTTTACTTAAAGCACTGTGCCTAATCAATATCAAATTGTGTTAATTTTTCTTTCAGGCGAGCAGTCAGTAATGACGTTTCACTGACGAAACTATCTAGAGAAAGAGCCCTGGTCGGTATTAGCATAAAGGAGGATTTGGCCACTGAGTTTTCTTGTGATGTTAAAATTATTCTATTATAGCACGAAAATCACATAAAAATATCACGAACAAATTCTTTGTTTCTTTATTTATCATCTGAGTACTCTGTGGTTCAGTTGACAACAATTACAATGTAAATTTAAAAAAATGAGTGGTTATGATGATTAAAATGAACATCAACAACCTACTCTTCCGAAAAATGACCTGACTTGGTACATGAATAGACTTTTGGTTTGGGCTAAATTTAAGGCCCCAATACATAAAAATTACCGATTTTCAAATCTGAAAAAAATCTATTAAAACAAATCTAGGTTAAAAACAAAAACTTATGCAATTGCATGAACCCCATTGAACTTTACGTTGACAGGATAAGCGTCTGTCAACCGCCACGCAAAAATACACGTGGTCAAAATGTCACTGCGGTAATATGACACAACCGGTACATTTCAGGCTACATTGTTCTGTTAAACGTATAAGTATTCCGGTCCCAAAACCGTTTGTCATATATAAAACCACCTCTGCAATGTGCACTTCATACTTTGCTAGCTACTCCTTTGACCATCTAAATGGATGTTTGTAATAGCGAAATTGAAATAGTCTCGTATGATATCAATGTTTCCATATTATACTAATTTTCTACAAATGTATAGATATATTATAAAAAAAACTTAGGAATCGTGTGAAAAATATATAGCTATGGTAAAGAAAAAAAATCTTGTCAAACTATCTAGCATTCAAACTAGAACATAACATGATGAGGACAAACTAACTTTAGTTTTAGTTTCACTGGTCAGTTTAATGTATAGATTATCGGGGTTTCTACACATTGAAATCGTTGAATCAGTCGCGGGTCACATTATGCATGTTTTGTGAGTGACCGCAGCGATATGTTCTACCTACTCATATATATTATATATACCGGAAAATGTTGTTTGTGCTGTATTTAGACCCCTCTACCAAGAAATTTGTTTTGCATGCACACGTATAAAAAATGTTTTTTTTTTCCAACGCAAGATATATAATTCATAGGTTTGAACGTTGTTTTCAATTTAGACTCGTTTATATACCGGTATATATGTATATATACCTAGAAAACCTGATAATCTGTATATTATCGTTCTATTACTGGTATTTCCGTGGTCACACTATGAAATTGCTCTGGGTCATACCCGGGCCATATTGAATTCCAATTAATTACCACAGTTCACACTTAATAAAAATTAACCCACTTTGGGATTTTCCTTCTCAACAAAAATAGAAAAGTATGCGTCAAAACTGTAACCAGCATCTGTCCACTGTACCTTTTTTTACATTCTTTACATCACAATTGCCTTATTTCAAAGTCTGAAATACTTTTTCGCACTCCTGGTCGCTTGGACATGTCGGATGAAATCAACATCAGCACTTTCCTTGTCGCGAATAACGTCACAGTTCCCTAATTATACCCATTTTGCAAAAAAAAAAGAGGAGCAACGGAAATCTTATAGGTTTTTTTAAGACTAAACAGTTCGTATTTTCGTCTTTGTCATTATATATATGCAAGTCTTTCAACATAGCTAAATACACTGTAAGATACACAACACGGTCACATCAAATCTACAGCGCTGAATTCTCCAGTGAAGAAGTAAGACTGATTAGAATTAAAATCTATATCAACTCGCATGCTCGTACACACGCCTGGTAAACCATCAAGTCTCAACCAAATGGTTAAGCGAGAAAAAGGTTTACTGGCACTTCCTGTTGAGCTTTACTGGTACACAATATCAACAAGTGAGTCTGTGAGCTACTGCTCACTAATGATACACCCGCCCGCTAAAAGTATAAGGTAAGCAGGAAGTTGTTGAGTGATGAATCTGAAAACGCATCACACGGTATAGCGGACTTATATAAACCATGAAAACAAATTTCAGAAATATTTGTATTGTGGTTCCTGAGAAAAATGTGACGAAAAATATTCATGGGACGGATGGACGGACTGACGGATGGACTGACGACCTGACGGACTGACGGATGGATGGATGGACTGACGGATGGACAGACAGAGGTAAAACAGTATACCCCCACTTTGTCAATCTGTGAATATTTTATTAAATAGGAGAATGTCATGCCATAGATCGCGGCTAATTCTTTGAAAAGAATATCAATCACTATAGTGAACATGCTTAGCTGCTCATTTGTTAGCCAAATGCTTTAATTCACCAAATTATCAAGTGCCTTATAGATTGTCTAAAAACGTTAACCACTTAGAAATGCAATCTTTCATCATTCTTGAAACCCTAAATTGAATATAATGTTCCGGTTTTGGATAAAATTGAGAATGGAAATGGGGAATGTGTCAAAGAGACAACAACCCGACCATAGAGCAGACAACAGCCGAAGGCCACCAATGGGTCTTCAATGCAGCGAGAAACTCGAGCTATCCCGCACCCGGAGGCGTCCTTCAGCTGGCCCCTAAACAAATATGTATACTAGTTCAGTGATAATGGACGTCATACTAAACTCCAAATTATACACAGGAAACTAAAATTAAAAATGATACAAGACTAACAAAGGCCAGAGGCTCCTGACTTGGGACAGGCGTAAAAATGCGGCGGGGTTAAACATGTTTTTTGAGATCTCAACACTCCCCCTATACATCTAGCCAATGGAGAAAAAACAAACGCACAACAGTACGCACAGTAAAACTCAGTATAAGAGAAGTCTGAGTCCGATGTCAGAATGGGAAACAAAAGAAAATAAACAAAATGACAATAATACATAAATAACAAGAGACTACTAGCAGTTACTGACATGCCAGCTCCAGACCTCAATTAAACTGATTGAAAGATTATGTCTTCATCATATGAATATCAGGCATAATCCCTCCTGTTAGGGGTTTAGTATTATACCGTCATAAAATATATGAGAAGAACATAACCCGTGTCATGCCAACAACTGGTTTTAAAATAAATGTGTTTAATTCAGATGCAAAGACCCTATAAATGAATCAATATTAAAGCCAAAATATGCAATCTTTAATGACCTGACAACAGTATCGTATCTATATCCCTTCTTAATGGTTATGTTAGCTTTTGAGGTGAATACTGACATTTTTGTGCTTTGTAAAGAATATTACCATAAAAGATTGGATGTGAAATACCCGAACGTATAAGATGTCTGCATGTTGAGTTATATTTACGAATGATGTCATATATTGCGTCAAAAAAGTATTATAAACAGGCATTTATTTCTGTCTTGTTTGTTTTGATTTGTTCTCTGTTTTTTGTTTTTGTTTTTTTATTGCCATCTCTATTGCATATCTATTTAAAAGCCTGGAAAACCTAGCCAGCTCAATCAAGAACATTTGCGATTTCTTTTTTCGAATATAGGAAATTAAATCCTGAAAAGCCAATTGGCAAACATTTATCAAATTGACTTTATATCTATTTTTTTTCTATTTAAGGAATTTAGTGTTGATGACATATCTAAAAAAGGGTTTTTGTTAAATTTCTCCAAAATTTTGGAAGAATATTTAGCTTCAAATGTTGTTGTTTGTGTGACATGCACCAATCCTTCAACATAATGCACAGTTTGAAAATCAGTAGTTTTCAGACACCTATGCCTTAAACATCAACCTTTTTGCTCTTATTATAATTATGCAGCTTGAAATACGGTGTACTATTCCAGCGGCTTATCCCTACCACTGAGTACATAGATATCTCCCTTGTGGTTGTTTGTCGATGTGGACTTGTATAAACGTCTTTAGTAGAAGCCATGTCCAATTACAGATGAAACAAAACATACATTTCTGAAGACTGCGTAAAATAAAAGAATAAAATACAACTTTCCGACATAAACACAGGCGCCGATAGAGTGTCCGTTGGCTTTGCTTGTCAGTCTCATAAGGACTTTTCAAATCAACTTCAAGTGTACACATACGTGTTTGTTAACACATTCCAAATATTTCTAAATTTCTGTGTGTGAATAAATGGAGATTTTTAGTATACACAACTGAGACAGCAACCCCAATAACGACACACAAAAATAAAAAGGCATTTAGAGGTCAGCAGTAGGTTTTCTACAATAAACAAATGTCTTTACAATAAATAAGCTCTAAATTCTTCCGAGTTTAGAAAAAAATAGATAAGATTAATGAAAACGTTTTCATATATATGTAGATAAACACAACATTCCGTAAATAACAAAAATAACAAAAATAAACAGGAAAATTTCGGATAATGAACAGGAACGAGCCCAGTCTGTTACTATATGTTTTTTGAGATTTCTTGACGTCTAATTAAAATATCTATATATAACATATATATGTATAATATGCGATATAACAGTTGAGAATAATACATTGAAAGACGCACAAACACTGTTGGCATTGTAAAAGATTATTCAAAACTGACTGTTTTTAAAGGATAACAAAACCGTAACAGACACGTATGATCACGTCTATTTTTTTAACTGAATTGTTGAGATCGGAATAAAAAAAAATATTTTGATTATGGTCTATTATGAGGAAAGGTTCCGACAGAATTGTACGATTGAAGTTTTTGAACATATCAAATTGTCATAATTTAATTTCCGGACTCAACTCGTCACAGAAATAATTGACCATTCACAATGTAAACAAAGCTGGCCCAAAGAGATAGAACCATTGAATATTGTCTGTTGTTTTACATACGTCTTGACTGAATGTCACGGTATAGAAAATCTATAGTTTATGACTTCATGTCTTACGTCTTTTGTAACCTAGTTAACGTTTTAGCACATGTATTATTTTTGATGCACAACATAATACATTTAGGATACGAGTGTTCTTTGATTCATAACGTCGTAATATGGTTTAATCCATCAAACCATGAGAGTATAAATGCCATACATGAAAATTGTTTACTGGAAAATCGATACAAGATTTGAATTTCAAACGGTTACACCAGAAAAAGGGAAAAAATGAATAAAGTTAACCTAACAAAAAGCAACAAGAACAGATGGTATTCCAGCAAAAATATTAAAATTAAGCAGATCTGTAGTTGCACCTCAGCTTCTCGCCAGAACACTCTTATAAATGTAACTGTTAACACATGCATGTTTCCAGATAGACTTAAGCAAGCCCAAGTTACACCCTTATGCCGTGAATTGCTTTTTTTCAAATAATCGAAAAGGTGTTTGAAATACAGTTAGGTATAGGACTTTTTTTATTCTGTTTTTAATCCTTATCTATGTGCTATCCATAGAGAACGTGGATGTCAGATTACGTTGCTCAGATTACTGGAGGACTGGCGTGAAGCCCTAAACAAACAAAAATGTATACAACTGCAGTTATCATTAATTTACGAAAAGATTTCTACTGTTTATAATACTTCATGATATTTTATTAGATAAATTATTAGCATATGGTGTTTCCTCACATTCTTATATTTGTTAAAAACATATATTTCTCACAGAAAACAGCAAATTAAAGGCTCTATATAGCTGATTGAGTGGTTCAAAGAAAATATGATGCTGGCACTTCCTGATAAATTTCAGGTTATTGCTCATGTTGCTGTAGGGAGAGAAAAAAAAAACCTTTTCGAAAAATCCGTGTATTCAAATCAGCAAAATATTTTCTCATCTGAAGAAACTGTCAAATTACTTGGATCTAAAATATGATGCACATATATATATAAGTAACTTGAGTAAAAAGCTATCACACCAGCTGAATATGTGTCCTATCTAAAAATTTAAACAAACTTACAACTTTCCATACTTTCATTTTGAGTAATTTTAATTTTATGCCTTTTGGCTTGGCATTTTTGTTCCGGGAACAAATTTGTAAAAACTTTAAAAAATGCAAGAAAGAGCTTTAAGATTCGTCTATGGTGACCAATTATTATGGCAAGCCGTTTTACTATTTATTCTAACTTCAAGATATCAAAAAAACTTTTTAAGATATCTCATATAGTTTATAAGATATCTTATATAGTTTATAAGATATCTTATAAATTATATGAGATATCTTATAAACTATATGAGATATCGTATAGAGTACAAAAGATATCTTATAAACTATATGAGATATCTAATAAAGTATATACGATATCTTATATAAAAATAATGTATAAGATATCGGATATACTTTATAAGATATCTTGTAAACTTTATGAGATATCTTGTAAACTTTATGAGATATCTTTTAAACTTTATGAGATATCTTACATAATATATAAGATATCTTATATCTTATAAAACTAGATTATATAAGATATCTTATATGAGATATTTTATAAAACTACATTATATAACATATCTTATATATTATATAAGATATCTTATATAGTTTATAAGATATCTTATAAAGTTTATGAGATATCTTATATAATTTATGAGATAGCTTGTATAGTTTATAAGATATCTTATATAGTTTATAAGATATCTCATATAATTTTCTTTATTAGATATCTTACAAATTGTATGAGATATCTTATAAACTATATGTTTTAGATATTATAGACTATATAAGATATCTTATATGAAAAATAATTTATGAGATATCGTTTTTACTTTAAAAGAGATGTAATAAAAACTATATTATATAAAATATTATATGAGATATTTCATATAATATGAGATATCTTGAAGTTCGAATAAATAGTAAAACGTCTTGCCATAAATTATCATCCTCTGAAACTCTTTTTGAGAACGCAAATGTGCCAACCCTTCAAGTGAGACGCATCATGATCGTGGCAACTAAGACTTACACAATTTTGAATAATTTGACTACTTTATGTTAACAAAAATTAAAATTCGCTTCACATTAAACACACTAAATATTCTTTTAGTCTAGATACAGTAGCATACCGTATATATGAATAGAAATCGTGTAGCTTCGCTACTGCTTCTTTATGGAATAGCTAGTTTACCAGACCACTTTAGGACTGAAAACAGCTTCACGCATTTAAGAAGTCTTGTTCGGTCCTGGAGTGAATCGGACGTCCTGCTTTTGTTCTGCTTGCAGATAATTATGATACATTTTCATGCATTGTATGCTAGCTTGCATTGCGATTTAAAAGTATAATTACTAAAAATTATTTATAGGTTTACTTTATATCATTTACTGATCAGTTTTTAGCTGCAAATTTTTATAAATTGTCAAATTTTGATAGTCTCTCTTTAAAGCTTCAGATATATGTTTTCGCAATTTAAAAAAATGAGAATAGAGAAAAATGCGCAAAAGAAAATTAATTATAGAGAATAATGGGGTGCTTAAATATAGAGAATATAACTGCAAAAATTAAAAAATATCGTTAAAATATACTGACTGTAGAAAAGAACAATGTCCAGAATACAGTTATCAGGTAATTACAGAATAACCATTATTTATTAGATAAAGAATAATGAGCGAAAAAAATAAAGAAACAGAAATGAAAGACCCCCATCCATACCCTCATCTATGTCGGTATTTCTAAGCTGTACAATCCGAAGCATTTGAATAATATGGGTACATATTATTCAACCTTATTTCAATGAAGACACAGATGTTAACCGCATGGAACTATTTGTAAAAATTATTTAATTTGGCTTTGGGGCGACCTCATTGGGGTCGATTTGTCTAACATCTGTTAGGAAAAATATTAGCTTCACTTCCGGTCTTTTTAATGACCTCGCTATGCCAGTAAGGGGAAAGAACTCATTAATCTAATGCAAACATGGCGGCTATCCGGGGAAGATCAAGTTTTGTGTTTACAAAAAGGTTGGTTATGCAGATCGTATGAAGAAGAATGACTTGTTACTTTGCCATAATTTATTTAAGATCATGATCTTTCGGTTTATCTATATGCCTATTATAATCACACGGTGCAAATATGTTAAATCTGACTGCAAAAAAGTTGTGCTATTGAAAAATGTTAAAATTGAAATCCCAAGATAATGGGGATTTCAACTTTTTCAGTTTTCTGGCGTATAAAAGATATACTTTCATATATCTTAAGTTATAACTTAAAATAAAATTGATATATTATTTTTACTTGATATTATATGTTGAAAAAGTAAGATTTTAAAATTTTGGGGGGAGGGGGGTGGTCTTATATGCGCACCGAACCATGGCAGTATAATCAGTTTGTTGATTGTGGCCATTATCTGGCAGAAGCAGAAGCAGAAGATCGGTAAACAAAATAACGAGTTTTCAGTTGCACATGTTGCATGTTGTTATTTTATTGATATGCTAATGAAACACAACGTCAATAATTGTTTACCACCCAGTACAATGTACATGTCCAACTCTTATTCTGAAAAGGATGTTCAGATGCAAAAGTGATTTGCAATTTACAACCATAATGCAATAATTAGTGTTTTACATGCATGATGTACAAAACAATATACATGTTCAGCTTGGATGTTGAGTTATGCAGTGTGTCTGGTAGTTATCTGAAAGTATAATCCATAGCCAAGGTCAGCTGCCTTGGCTATCATATATGTGTCCATCTGATCATCTATCCCAAATTTATATGTACATGTAGGGCCTAGATGTCATTTAGTTGTGTCGTATGGTTGCTGTCTCAGCATACATTGATATATACCCTGGCAGTATTTTTTTATTCACATTACCACAATAGAAAAGCTCATATATTACATGTATATATATGGCAAAATTGCAATTAATTATTTAATAGAAATACATATTGTACATTCCTCTTCTTAGACAGTCTGCACCAAAATCTTTTCCAACTACTAGTCCGAAGGCAAATATTCAGACATTTTCCTTACGTGTCTTAACAAAGTTTTGCGAAAATTAACTAGTCCAAATAAAATTTTACTAGTCTGGGGCATCAGACTAGTGGCTAACAGTGCAGGCTGCTTCTACATTTACACATACATGTATATATAGTTTGTATATGTACAATGTACATGAACTGCCTCAGATATCAACTAGTCCAAATAAAATTTTACTAGTCTGGGGAATCGGACTAGTGGCTAACAGTGCAGGCTGCTTCTACATTTACACATGAATGTATATACAGTTTGTATATGTACAATGTACATGAACTGCCTCAGATGTCTTGTAGTAATGTCAGGTACAAAATGTAACTAAACTGTAGTGTGCAGGCATGTATCATGGGAAGTTATAAGTTGGATCTGGGGCCAAGTCAATCTATGACTTGAAAAAGGGTTTTGCTGCTTCTCTGCTAAGCACCCTCTGCTTTAAGGGGTAACTAGAGTAAATACTTGGTCAGCTGAGGACAATAATTAAACTGATGCGGATCAAAGAGTTGAAAACCCCCAAAGCTAGATAATGTTTGGAGTGAAACGGGTAAAAAGTCTGTATTATATATATTAATTAACCATAAATGTAGCTCCATGTGGGGGGGGGGGGGGGGCAAAATATCCATCTCTTTGAAATGTCTGATACCTTAAGCCGCTCATGTCTTCCTGTAGAATGTTTACAGTAGAAATGGCATGTTAAAAAGCTGACTAAGTGCGTCTGTCTAGCACAAAGCAGTGTTTATACCATAGGCGGATCCAGGGGGGGGGGGGGGGGGGCACATTGGAAACTATCTGTCAATATTGTCATGTTTTTTTTAATTTAAATTTTCCACAGAACAGTTCAAACATATTGTAGTTTCATAATACCATTGCCATATATAAACATTTTACACAGAAAAACCTTGAGTTATTTTAAGAGGAGAAAAAAAATCAATTTCTTCAATTTCTCAAACAATTTCATATACTAAATGCACAGAACAAGTATTGTATAAAATAAGGATATATGTGGTATGATTGCCAATGAGACAACTATCCAACAGAGTTTAAATGACAGGATTAAAGCAACTATTAGTCAACAAATGGTCTTCAGGAGCCTGTAGCCTTTGTTAGTCTTGTATTATTTTTAATTTTAGTTTCTTGTGTACAATTTGGAGTTTAGTATGGCGTTCATTATCACTGAACGAGTATATATATTTGTTTAGGGGCCAGCTGAAGGACACCTCCGGGTGCGGGAATTTCTCGCTGCATTGAAGACCTGTTGGTGACCTTCTGCTGTTGTCTGTTCTATGGTCGGGTTGTTGTCTCTTTGACACATTCCCCATTTCCATTCTCAATTTTATTCAATAATGAGTAAAACCTATACCTTATACAAGACCCTGACATAACAGAATGGATCAAAGAACATTATTTGAACAAAAGACTTTTTTTCCAGTTCAAAGAATATTACTGGTAGTGTAATATTTCAATATTTTTTTTTATTTACAGATTGTTTGTTCACTGTTGGTCACTTAATGTAAGTGGGAAAAACTGATTGGATAAAGATAATAAACAGTCTGTATAGTACATGTGAAATAGGTGAGTTTTCCCAGTATGAATTAGTTTGTTCTTTTTGAGTAGGGGACATTTCAATAGTAAAATTAAATCGGTATTAATATTTTGTATTGTAATTGGCCACTGTACCATTTGTAGTTAAATTAAAATAAAGTTGTTATGTTTTGATTTTGATAAAACAGTTTACCTTTTACTGCTATAAAATGTTTTATTCTTTATTTCATCTCTCAATTTCAATTTTTGCAGGAGACTCATCTGATTGTGGAAGTTTGTGTAGTTGAAAGAAGGAGTTACATACAGATGCTGTTTTGAATCATAAGAAATGACTGATATTAATTCATTTCTTCAGTTCCTCATTAGCTTCTTCACAAGGAATAAATTGTGTAAGGAGTTCTATATTCCTATTTAAAGACCTAACTTTTTTTTCCATTTGAGTGTATGAAAGCAAATTAATTGAATTCATTCTGAATACTGAGCTTATATAGTTTTATGTACATGTATATGTGACTTTATCTTTATTTGACTTTTTATTTATAAGTTATTTAAACATTAATAATTTTATTCTTTGTATGAGAAGCTATAATCAATCGACTACTGTAAATTCAGAAATTATTGCGTGCATTTATTATTGCGATTTTGTCATTTTAGACTAAAATGCGATTTAAATTTTTGCGATATTGAGAAAAATCCTGTTTAATTCATATAAAAAATTTCAAAATGCGAGTTTAAATTATTGTGATTATAACCCTGTCGCATTTTTCGCAATAATAAAAACATCGCAATAATTTCAGAATTTTTTTCTCGCCTGGGATGAAAGTCTGGGAAAGTGAGACATAAGGGTTCCTTTTCTGGCGACAATGGCTCTGGCATCAACAATTGTTAAGTTTTTTGCTTAAGTTAGTAAGTTTGACAGGTATTACTTGTGATAGATCATTGATATTTGATATAAAGTTGTATTACTATCAGTACATATCAGTTTGACGACTATTTTGAGGCCCTGTTTCTAGGATATGGTGCAGTGACTTGGATTTAGAGATTTTCAATATTAATAGAAAAACAAAGGATATGGAGTATCCATCCATGACACAAAATCAGTAAATGCACATCAAAAAAACATACAAAAAGCAAAGGAACAGCGCTTTTATTGCTGTTCTTCATCTCAAAGTCACATTGAGACCTCAACTCGGAGCAAAAAAACTCTCACTTCACTGCAAGTTTAAGACGGCCCCTATCACCGACTTTAGCGGAATTCTTTGCAAAAATAATTTGGATAGACTTTGTAAGATGTAACACCACTCAATCGGGCTAAGTCGAAAAAGAACATTCTGGAAAGTAGTACATATTTAAAACAAAAAAGTTTACTGCTTAAGTTAGTTTGATAGGATCTAATTCTGACACACACATTACAATATATCCAAAAATAAAGTAATTGTCTGATACAGAAGTTTTATATGTTTTAAAGAATAATGCTTTTTTGCCTTCTTTGTTTTTATTCCCTTTGAAAATATATCATTTTGTCCAACAAATTTTTAAACAATCTGCATCAAGGCTTTGTAATATTGCAAATATTTGACCTGATAACAATTTAGACTGTTGGAATCATAATGATATCAAATTTGACCTGACATGAGGAAGGCAAGTGTCATAAACTTATTAAACAATAAAATTGAGAATGGAAATGGGGAATATGTCAAAGAGACAACAACCCGACCAAAGAGCAGACAACAACCGAAAGCCACCTATGAAACAAGTTTGATTTGGATCAAGAAAATACTCAAATTAATACAATAAACAATGTATACATTGACATATACACAAATTTAAAATAGATGAGTTATGAGAGAATCCTTTTTTTTAAGCTAATCTGGCAAAAGTGACTAATTGTGTCTTCATACTCAGTTCATTGTTTGTCGTCTGTAAACCTTTTAGCTCACATCCCCATAAAGCCACTGAACTACTGTATAAACTTACTTGTTGTCCATTGTAAACTTTTTACCAAACTTGAGGTGAATGGTTCTTATGGTGTCTAGTATAAACTTTGTTGATTTTTATTCTGGTCAGTCTGTACACAGCAAACACTTTTGGATGAGTCTTTAAGGAATTATTACCCTTAAATAGTGATTTAATCAATTTTTATACGACCGCAAAATTTAAAAAATTTTGGTAGTATATTGGTATGACGTTGGCGTCGTCGTCGTCGTACGAAGACACATTGGTTTTCGCACTCTAACTTTAGTTTAACTGAATGGATCTCCATGAAATTTTACCATAAGGTTCAATACCACAAAAGGAAAGTTGGGATTGATTTTGGGGGTTATGGTACCAACAGTTAAGGAATTAGGGGCCAAAAATAAGCATTTTTGTAACTTCCAGACATAACTCGTGTGTTAGTGTATGGATCTCTCTGACATTGTACCACAAGGTTCCAAATCACAAAGGGAATGCTGGGATTGATTTGGGGGGTAATTGCCTCAAAATTTTAGGAATTAGGGGCAAAAAAACAAGCATTTTTCTAGTTTCATGATAACAACTTGTGTGTAAGTGTATGGATCTTTCTGAAATTGAAGTACAAGGTTCCATATCACAAAGGGAAAGCTTGAATTGAGTTTGGGGGTAATTGCCCAAAACATTTAGGAATAAGGGGCCAAAAAGGGGCCAAAAATAGCATTTTTTGAGTTTCCAGACAATAACTTGTGTTCAAGTGTATGGATCTCTCTGAAATTGTACTGCAAGGTACCATACCACAAAGGGAAGGATGGGATTGATTTTGGGGGTAATTGTCTCAAAATTTTAGGAATTAGGGGCCAAAAAGGGGCAAAAAACAAGCATTTTTCTAGTTTCAGGACAACAACTTGTTTTAAGTGTATGGATCTTTATGAAATTGTACTACAAGGTTCCATATCTCAAAAGGAAAGCTGGGTTTGAGTTTGGGGGTAATTGCCCTAAACGTTTAGGAATTTGGGGCCAAAAAGGGGCCTAAAAACAAGCATTTTTCTAGTTTCCAGACAATAACTTGTGTTCAAGTGTATGAATCTCTCTGAAATTGTACTGCATGGTACCATACCATAAAGGGAAGGCTGTGATTGAGTTTGGGGGTGATGAATCATAAGGGGGTTCAAAAAATTTAGGGGAGGTATTTTTTTTTTCTTTAAAATTTTCCATTTTGAATTGGTTATTTCTGATTTATATATAAAAGCAAATAATAATGATATGGTTTGAATAGGTAAATTAAAAATTTTTAAGTTCATACTGTGTCAGAAACCTATGCTGTGTCAAATATATAATCACAATCCAAATGCAGTGCTGTATCAAGCTTGAATGTTGTGTCCATACTTGCCCCAACTGTTCAGGGTTCGACCTCAGCGGTCGTATCAAGCTGCGCCCAGCGGAGCATTTTATTGCATTTTGGGCAAATTCAATAGTAGTTTAAAAGAGAAACTGTAACCAGCCAAAATGATCAGCAATATGCATGATTTACAAATAGAACTAAGATATGAATGCTGAATTAGAATCCGGTCTATAATGTAAGAGAGTGGCCATTTTTGAAGATGCAAATAGATCCAAGTGAGTGACAGACTATTGTCTAGTTAAAAGAGCTTCCCTGAAACTACTGAACCAATTCAAACCAAAGTGACATGATCGATGGTGCTTAGTGGTGTGTAAAATATTGCTTAAATATTGTATGTCAATAAAAGACGAATTGAAACAAAAAAAGATCAGCATTTTAGGCGCATTGAGCCTGTAGTTTACCGTTTTGCTGTGACTGATAACAGCTTCATATCAGGATCAGTGCTGAACTTATATACTTTGTTATGTCTTTCTGACGAAGTTTTGTTTATCTTTAAAATGTCACAAAGAGTGGGTCATGAATTAAATTGACCACTGTCTCGAGTTACAGGGAGGACTGGGCAATAACAAACATTATTAACCCTGCCAGGTTCTGTATGCGTTTGTCCCATGTCATGGAGGATCAAATTGAGAATGGAAGCGGGGAATGTGTTAAAAGAGACAACAACCCGACCAAAGTGCAGAAAACGGCCTTGGCAAACCAATGGGTCTTCAACGCATGTGCTGCTGTATTTCGGTGATTGTCGTTGGTTGCTGGCTTTCATATTTTATTTTCGTTTCTGATTCTGATAGTGTGTTTTCAAAACAAGAATCAAAAGAATTTGTAAAGATTTGGGGCGGTCCAGAATTGCTTGTACGATTTAATGCTAAACAATGATATATTATCCAATTAAAGGGGGCGTACGCATTCTACGCCCTCCCCCTTAATCCATACATAATTGGATTGAGGTGAGGGGATGGGTAGACAAGTGAACCCGCCCACCCTTATGGGACTACATGTCTCTTGCATATAGACTGTATGCCCCACTCCTGATGTTTTTTAGTGGTTCCCCCTTTTTTTTAAATCCTGGATCAGCAACGGATACGGTATATTAAACATTGATTGAAGATGCAAACAGGGTAAAATATGATGTAAAGCAATGCATATATATTACTCTTCAAGAGTTTTGAAAACACACATTGGAACTGGAGCAAATGCATGTAGGGCTGGCCTACATCTGTGGTAACATCCCTTTTCGTCATCAATACAAATAAACTTGTAGGATTATTTATCCAATGAAAGAAAAATAAATACCTATCGGATCGCTTGCCAACCCGTGTATTAAAAAAGTAAGATATGAAATAACGTATTAAGGGAAATCATGAATTTATACAAAATATATTCGTTCGTATATCTGCATATCCTAGCTTGTGTTTTGTGAAAGGATCACGTACCGAAGTACCACCTACCGAGAGTTCAAATTTTTAAATTCATAATGAGAAAAATTACAATCAGTTAAACTGACAAATTCTTTGAATAGGAATAAACCATAAAGGTAATGAAAACCGTGTGTTAAACTTCAAACACAATACCAATAGCAAAGGTTACGGCTACAGCGATTATTAAAAAGAAATAGAAAGGGAGTCATAAAATTTAAATTGCATGAATTATAATATAATAGCTCAATCATTTATGACCTCGGAGTCAATACTTTCTATTTCTGTTTTCTGATATTTTCATTGCTTATTTTACTATTTCTTATATTTTATTTTCTATATACCGTTTTTACTATCAAATGCACCCCCCCCCCTCCCAAAGAATAAAAATAAAGAAAAATGAAAATATCACCAAAAACCTTTGAAAAAAAAGGATAATGCGCACGTTTCCGGACTAGTGTAACAAGAGAGAAAAAAACAACCGTACGTAAAATCATAGCTGTATAAAAAAAAACATACATCTATGGTAAAATCCAGGATTTGTATAATGAAATAAAATCCTTGGTAAAATGAAACAGTCAGTCGAATACACCGCGGACCAAGTATAAGGTGTACATGAAGTATTGCAGATTAACGACAAACTATCTGCTATTAATGCGATCACACACACACACACACACACACACACACACAAAAACAGCAAAAAGCAGAAAAAACAAATTAATTAATAAAAAAAAAACACTGTCAGTAATGGTTATACTATCTACAACAGTATAATGGAGGAACGATGTGGCGCGTGGTTGTGATTAATACGCCGCCTAGATAAACAAAACTGTGTATTGACCTTTTAGTGATAGAAAAACAGAGTTCAAATATATAAATATTCATGTTATAACTTATTGTCATACTTCCGTCAAAACTTTTAAACCAATAGCATAACACAAATTAGTTTTCGAACAGCTCTGATATTTTCTCATAAATTATAGTCAAACCCAGAGAGGTTCGAACGAAATCTTCCAAGCATAGTATCATTGGTTTCCTTCCCCCTTACTTATATTCCCCTGGCTATGCATTGCCAAGAAGATAGCAACTAAGCAAGCTTTGCATAACATGAATTTAAAACAAGTTTGAAAGGTGATTAGAAATACTTTTGATACGTAAACCGTTAAGAAATAAGCGCACACATTAATTTGCATGTTTGGTTCAGCAAATAATTTAGATTATGTACGTGCTCCTTATTTATCCACCTTTCTTAGCCTTAGGAGCACCACAGTAACTAATTGACACCAAAAGGACATCCAAATTCATAAATCGAAAAAAACTGTCAATGCCATGGCAAATAACGACAAAAGGACAAACCATAGGCGCATGAGGACAGGATCCTGTTATGAGCCCCCATAGTCCCTAACCCTTACAAACCTATTTACACTTTTGGTATTTAGCTATATTTTGCCTCCGAATGACCTTAGATGGCCACAGACCACAATTAAATTCCCCTATTAGTTCTTTATAACGTTTTGTTTCATTAAAAAAATTGAACCATGCATTTTTGTCAAATCTTTTGTGTGTGTAATGTATAGTACTAGTCCAAAAATATATCCAAAATTTAGAAAGATTGAACCAATCACTCTTACAAATTTAGCCAATACACATCCATACCCCTATGGACAATTCAAGAGATGTTCCGAAAAACTGTAAATATCACCTTTTTGCACCTGGCCTAATCACTCTTTCCATATCAAAATCAGTTAAAATACAACATCCAAAAGTTTAATTCACCTCTCTTCTTTTATTTCCACCCAAAAAAAACTAAGAAATGAGTGAGGAAAGGAAAGAAAAAAAATTAAGAAAAAATACTCTCTAATTAAAAGGAACTATATTCGTGGACAACTAAAAGCGGGATCATTAATTGTGGTCTTGGGCCTATAAGGGGTCTAAAACTTGACCAATTCTAATAAAACTTGGCATGATTTAAGCTTAGTGTATTTTGAAACAGTTTACAAAGTTTCAAAGACATATGATACCAATTATAAAAAATGTGGCATTTTTTATATCAGAACTTTGAGTGCTGAATTGTGGCGTTAAATTAGAACAATTTCAACATTCAAATTTGGGCTTCTAAAAACCAAAAAATATCAAAACTTGCACTTTTTAATGTCTCTATGTATAAGTTATCACCTATTTAAAGCAACAGATAGCATACTTCATGTATCAGACTTATAATAAAAAAGGGCCAGAAGTTAATTTTATATGAGCATGTGCCAAAAAATAGAGGTTTTCAAATGAAGTGAGGCCTTATAAGAAATGTAATATTTTTCACTTACCACAATTTTCTGAAGTTGTTAAGTTATAAGAAAACCTTTTACATGTTATAAATGTACTTTTAATGGAAATATAAGTTTCAAATATCATAACACATGTGGATAAAATGGTCTTCTGCAATGTCAAGCTTAAAAAAACAGGTTGTCAATTTAGGCCGTTCCCCACATTTGCATATTAAAAAGCATATAATAATATGGGAGATAGAGATATGCTTCTTTTTGCTCAAATCTTTGCTTAGATATGATAAAACATGGAACCTGGATGTAACAAGACTGTCACTTCCAACTATAAATGTAGACAGTATTGTCTGATGCAAAGTTATTTACTGTGCATTTTAAAACCGGCATGAAATTTCAGCTTCAAAAGGCCAATATTTTAACCACAACTTGACAAGCTATCAAACAAAAGAAAATAAAGGTAGTCTGTGGAACAGACAAGGCCAAACAACCAGTAATAAGTGCTTTTGATACAGATACAGTGAAATCTACTAAAAGAAATTCAACTTGTATGTGCATAGAACCTCATTTTTCACTTGCTTCATACTGACCGTTAGACTAAGACCATTAAAGCAGCACATTTTGCACTCTTATTCTGATTTTATCTACTTTTTTTTGTGTTCAGTGTTCAAAAATGAGTTAAACATCTACATTAGATACCACAAACACAAATAGAAAACCAGAAAAATCTGTCAGAGAGAAAGTAAGCAGGCTGTAGCACTTTTGTAAAAATATTGAAACAACTGAAAAAGTTCAATTTTGGGCATGTAGGCTGAAATGTCACTTTTTTACAAAATTTCTATCAAATAAAAGTGGAAATCATTTATTCTCATGTAGTTTGACAAATTAATACCAATAGATCATTCAGGGAAGTTGTCAAAGTACAAATTCAATATTCCCTGAATTCACCTCTTAGGCCACAGACCACTATTAAATCCCCTATTAGTTCTTTATAACGTTTTGTTTCATTAAAAAAATTGCACAATGCATTTTTGTCAAATCTTTTGTGTGTGTAATGTATAGTACTAGTCCAAAAATATATCCAAAATTCTGAAAGATTGAACCAATCATATCACTCTTACGAATTTAGCCAATACACATCCATACCCCTATGGACAAGTCAAGAGATGTTCCGAAAACTGTAAATATCACCTTTTTGCACCTGACCTAATCACTCTTTCCATATCAAAATCAGTTAAAATACAACATCCAAAAGTTTATTTCACCTCTCTTCTTTTATTTCCACCCAAAAGAAATGAGTGAGGAAGGGAAAGAAAAAAAATTAAGAAAAAATACACTCTAATTAAAAGGAACTATATTCGTGGACAAAGAAAAGCGGGATCATTAATTGTGGTCTTGGGCCAGATCTACTCCGAATCACCTTTTGACGTCAGGCAACAATCACTTTTTAATTGTGACGTCAAATGTTTTGAATTATGATGTCAAAGTTTACGGGAACCTGTGTGATTTTATGTAATGGCAGACAAATTTGCATACAAGTGTAAATACGTCTATTATCATAAATCCTAGATTTTTCAATATATATCAATTATCATTTATTTGTACATATATATACCAATATACCATATTTTAACTCTAAATATGCATGTTTACTATCAACGTGAAACTCGACCATAGATTGCTCGCTCTATAGTTTAGTTTCACATTGATATCATAGTAAACAATTTAACATGCATATTTAGAGTAAAAATATGGTTTATTGGTATATACATATGGTATAAATAAATGATATATATTGAAAAATCTAGGATTTATGGTAATAAGGGGGAGGGACTATGGGGGGTGGGCTCATAACAGGATCCTATCCTCAAGCACCTATGGGACAAACAACAGTTTACACAATACAACATCATGAACATAGAAATTAAAGACTGAGAACAACGAACTCCACTAAAAACCAGGGGTGATCTTAGCTGCTCTGGAAGGTTAAGCAGATCCTGCTCCACATGTGGCATCAGTTGTGTTGTTCAAAGACAAACACATAAGAAAAAAGATTTTTCTGAAACTCAAAATGCATATAAATGTTATCATGTTTATAGATTTAGTGTATGCTAAGTCCTAATAGCTTTTTTACCAGCATATGTTTTTCTGTGTTCAAGTAGTCTTTTAGGTATACCCCAGCTATTTTTATGATATTAACCTATAAGAATATCTTAAGGTTCTTCAAAATAAAGTGACAAATATAGATGTGTTAAGGTATAAAACCACTAATTCATAGCCCCATTGCTTTCTATGTTAAATTCTGCAATTTCAAGCATAAATGGCTACTTTGTCTTACGTTCAAATTAAGTGGCAGTTATTTCATGTCAAAACTGTACCTTATGCTGACTTGTGCTGAAAAAATCAACATACCTTTAATTGCATATTAGAGCGTACTGGTTCCCGGAAGTTTGATAGTACAGAAACAGGAACTTCTGATCTGAACAACAGGCCAAATGAGCCCTCCTATCAAAATTTCATATACTTCTTTATTATTCAAATAAAACTTTCAACTAGGGTTCTACAGTGATCCCAAGTCCCAAAGCTTTCATTTGATACTAAAACTACCCAAATATTCCTACTATTGACAAAGATACAGCTATGCGTAGGAACTATTTTGTTTAAAATATGTACTACTTTCTTGTATGTTCTTTCCGACCGGGCCTGAATTAGTGGTTCTATACCTATAACAGCACCAAACTTGTTATATTGACTTCTGCTTGACTTAATTTCCTTCTATGATCTATTTCTAGCATAGAAAAACACATAAAGCTTTTGTCAAAACAATATATCACTGAATTCAAGCTCAAATTGGACTGGTAGTAACATATGCGTTAAACAAAGAAAACTACATATGGATACTAATAGTGACAGATATGACACTTTTTCAATTTTTACCAGTTCTGATTTGTTAATATCTACTCAAATAACAGTGTTCTTACCTATATGTCTTATTTTTATCAGGGATTCTTCCTTGAATATAAATACAGTGGTCCAAACATAAAATATAATTGATAATTTTATCCCCCCCCTTTTTTCTACATGTTGGAAAAGGATAGTGATTTGGTAAAAAAAACATACTTTTATGTATAAACATGGATCAACAAGAGCAATTCATGTATCTCCAAGATAGACAACTTGCTAAAATGGTTATAAAATGCATTTCAAGTGAGATTTTGGAATTCCTATGTAAGTATACACCAATTTTCCTTGAAATAAATAACTCACCAAGAAACAAATTAAAACATGAACACTCACTAGATAATTTGACCAAAAACAATATTTATACTATAAACTAGTCATAATATACAAGTTTCATTGGTTTCAGTGTTAGATAATCCAAAAATTTAAATTTCAGGTCAAATCTTAACTGTGTGCATGCTAAATGACCAAAAAAGGCTAAAATACCTTATTGTAGCAATTTGAGGGCTGTAATTTGACACTAACATAATTGTTACATAAAAAAAAATAATGTAACATGATTTCTGACAACAAATGTGACCAATTTTCACTGTAAAGGGTATGATTTCTAAAAATAAAATTTAACATGCCTGTCAGTATAACAGCACCAAACTTGTTATATTGACTTCTGCTTGACTTAATTTCCTTCTATGATCTATTTCTAGCATAGAAAAACACATAAAGCTTTTGTCAAAACAATATATCACTGAATTCAAGCTCAAATTGGACTGGTAGTAACATATGCGTTAAACAAAGAAAACTACATATGGATACTAATAGTGACAGATATGACACTTTTTCAATTTTTACCAGTTCTGATTTGTTAATATCTACTCAAATAACAGTGTTCTTACC